TCCAGTGTTTTTCCCATGCTTCCGTGTGGGTAGTGATTATGCAGGACTGAGTGTGTATTAGACCAGAGTATTTTAAAAAGTACTGGAATTTAATTATTTGCTGCACTGTAGTAATCTACCAGGACTATAGTCAGTAGTTCTGAAACTTTTATGTCATTCAGTACTTGGCTAGAGTAGTTTGAAATTGTGTGTGAACATGAATGTGAAAATTTAAATTAGAATAGATAAATTCTATATATCTATAAATAGATAAATAGACAGTTTATAACGCAATTCACGTGCTCCTGTTTTTTTCATTTTAGAGATCTTATGTCCTATGACCGAAGGGGCAGACCGGGAGACCGTTACGATGGCATGGTATGAGTTTAAAATTTGCCTTGTTCTTGTAAGCAAGTTAGCATGCTCACTGTCTGAATATCTGTTGCTGAACACGTGCACTTAAGTGTGGGACATGCACGGTTCTAATGATACAACCAAAATGCTTTGTCCATACAAATGGTCCCTCCTGTGGAGGAATGTTTGGGGTGTAAGCGGTATCTGAGACATGATCTATTTTCTTTCTTTCCTTCCTACCATCAGAAATGATAGAGAAAGTTTGACTGTTCTCTACCCTGTGGGTTTTCACTGACCATCTTTTAGATTTTCTAATTAGAATGACAAATAGGAATTGGGAGGCTTTTCAGGCAAAGAAAACACGTCAGAACAACGTTCTCCGAAATTCTTTGATTCATACAAGCGCTCTTAACACTAATGTTGGAAAACACGAGTATAGATAGAATAATACAGATTATAGTATCTATGAAGAGCTCTAGTTGATCTGGAAGGTGATTGCTCTTTTGAATTAATTCTTGTCTATTTGCTGGTTTCTCTGTCTGCAAAAAATCCACTGTAATTCCACATGTTTTGGAGCTAGGGCCACTGCTAAGTTGAATCCTAAATTAAATTAGGTACATTCAACTATATTAATGCTAATACTTGCTGAGGGGAAAAAAAAAATCTCATAATATGTGGAAGCTCAAAAAAAGGCGTAAAGATATTTTTTGATGTTGTATTCTAAAATGCAACTTCTCAGCAGTCATCTGCTGTTGTACTAGATACCTCTTTTCCTGGGAAGAGAAATCATATGTGTCTGGGAGGTAAATCTCTGTATCTTCTATTCTCCTCTGGCTTTGTTTGGCACCTTCTTTAAGATTACAGGTGAGACAAGATTATTTTTTTTTCCCCTTCTAAGTGAATGGAAGAGAAAGGAGTGGAAAAGAGCTATGAAATAGGCTACCCTAAATAGGCTTTACACATTTCCTCCTTCTTGGGAGTAAGAGTTACTGGAAGTACATATTGCAAGAATGTCACATGCTTACTAGAAATATTAAAAGGGAAGATTTGCACACAGTTACAAAAAAAAAAGTGTTACCCATGCTACTCTGCATGTTAAGAAACTGGAAGAATTGAGAAGTACACCTCCAAGATTCCTTATTTATAGTTGCATGTTTTCAGAGCTCAGTTCTTGTGTTCTTATATTTGCAGCTCATAAAGCCAGTGCTAGAGCATATAAACTGAGCAGCCTGCCTTTCTTTGGCTATCTGGTTGAGCACAATCTTGCTGAGCTGGACTCTCGAGCAGCAGCGTGTTCTATTTTTATTCCATTCCAGCTAGAATAGAAACTGTGTTTTGACTTCTGTTTAGCCTGACTTTGTCAGGTTGATCTTTGCTTTCTTGACATGAGTTTCTACAAGTAAGTGGAGTCATCTCTGTTCATTTTTTCATTCCAAAAAGCAATTTTATTTCCTCTTCACAGTGAAGCTGCTCGTGGCTTTGGCTCCTTTATGACCAAGTATCATAGCCTGGTTAAAGTGAGGACTGCTTCCCAACAAAGACTGTATTTAATTTCTAGTGTTAGTTAACCATGACCCTAGTATCCTAAATTGTGTAAGCAGATACGAAGTCTTCACGTGGATTGTGAGGCTGGATCTGGAAATGTCATGCCAGAAATGTAAGGTCTTCCTGTGCTACTCTTCGTTTCGTATAAAAACCATTTTTTAGCAAAGCATTTAAACAAGAGTAAACCAGCGTCATTGTGGTTTGTGGAATAAGTAATGCATGGGAAAGGCTGGTCTCAGAGAGCAGAAGTGCTCTTTCACATAGATTCTATTTTACATAGATGCAATAAAAGGCAAGAATAGATGCTTCTCAGGTGAATATCTTGAAAATCATGGAAATGTTAAATGTACAGAAATAATCTCCCCTCCCCTCCCAGTTCTCTTTTCCACTAAAGGCAGAAAGATTGAGTCGTTCAGGACCTTTAAAACTGGATGCTGAACTGTGAATTTTCTGGAATTCCAGAGATGACAGTATTGACAGCCTTGTAAATGCTGAGATGAGAAAAACCCATTTTGATTTTAAAAGATAGGTTAATTCCCCTTGCCCATGCAGAGTCATCCACTTAAGAAGATACTTGTCTGTTAGCCTGGCTTACAGTTGTAGTTTAATTACGCATTGCTGTTGAAAGAGTTCATTTGGTTTATAATCTCTGTTCCGAAGCTTTTTCCTGAAGGACAGACTTGTATTGTTTCTCTGTTAACAGAACTATATATTTCAGTGTGTAACTACTCCAAATCAAATGCCTGTGGACCATAAGGGCTATCCTGACAGTTGAACAAACCTGAATGTATTTCCAGTATTTCTTTTTTAACACACTCATCCTCAGGGGTCTTTCAGATACATAAATGCACAGATACCAGTGGGAGGGGTGGAAAATAAAGTGGACAAGCACATAAAGTCATTTTATCCCCTCACCTCTTTTTTAATTAACTGATGAGGTACTAACATTTTCAAAGTACTAAAAACTTTAAAATATGAGTTAATAGAGACTTAAATCAGAATATCTCCTGTTAAGTGGACTGTCTCTTCACAGACTTCCGTGTCTTCAGACTTCTAATGTGCTTTTGCTCCTTCGAATGCTTCCTGGTTCCTGATCTTTTTTTTAAACTTACACATGTGTGTGTACATACACGTGTCTTGACGTATAAACACTTGAATAAAGGCACATGCAGTTAAAAAAATACAAAACATTCTTCATGTTTAAGAGATGTGACAATAACAAGCATGTAGAAAAACAGTAAAGGAAGAATGTATGACAACTCTTCTATTTATCCATGCAGATGCTGGCAGAAAGTAATAAAATTTCACTCCTAGGTCATTCTGTTAAAAAACAGAGAAAATTATGATAGAAGAATTTGACATCGGTTAGGACTGCATGCCTTTTTTTTCATTAGATGTAAAAGTTAAGCTTTTTGCCTCATCCAGCCAGTGTGCCATCTGGTTTCTATTCTAGTACCAGTAGTCACTAGCACAAATGAGTCTGTAGAGTAGAATATTCTGTTAAGTATGTTAAGATATCCTGTTTGAGAAGCTGGTTTTAGAGTACACAAATGAACATCAATTGCTAAAATTGTAGAATTCTGAAAGAAATAAATGCTATATATCACATGTTGTAAAAACATAATTAAATTTCTAATATAGTCAGTCAGCAGTAGATTGTTAGTCTAGTTATTGGCTATATGAGGTATATGGAGATTAATTGGTAGAACATGAGAAGCAGTGTCCTTCCTGTTTGACCTGCTGTTGGCATAGAGATAGTCACTGACAGTTACTTGTTTCAAACTTACTAAACCTTAATTTTCTAATGCATGGCAGAAATAAAAGATTTTTCTAACAGACAGCAGGAGTAAAAGATTTTGATATATAGTAGCACTCGAAGGTGTTCTAAAAGACAAAAAAAAAAAGCTTGTTCAAGCTTTGCTCTGCTATTAGCTGTCTGACCTTCTTTGTTAGAGGAAAAATCTGTTTACACCACAGAAAGGGGGGGGGAGTGAGTGTGACCACTTACAGTTCCCTCAAAGTGAAATTAAAAAGGAGCGAGTCTTGGAAGTGGTCTAAATCACATACTTCTAAGTCTTTGTTGTAGTATAAATATTTCTCTGTACCAGTATGTATTGTATTTGCTTGCCGAGTTACCTGTAAGTCTGCATGACATGGACTTAATATAGATTTCTTTCCTCTCTTCCTCCTATTACGTTGTGTCTGGAAGATGATGCAGTGTCACGTGGATGCTTGTGACGACATGCAGCCACCAGAGTTGGTGAGTGTGCTCAACCATTTTTTGAAAACTGCTTTATTGAACAGGTTAAGTGATAACGGGAATTTCTTGATCTTGAGTGTAGTCAGTGGCAACTTGCACCTATAGAAAATCACAAAGCTGTCCTTCTGACTCAGAATTTATTGGCAGTTTGTTTTAACAGTGTGTCCTGTGCTGGCAGGTAACGTTAATAGAAATTTGGAAGTTTGCAGCAGCACAGCCAAAAGAGAGGAGCTTTTCTGTACCTCTTTTTGCCTCTTTTACATCCCATTTTCGCGTTGCAAATAGTAACTTTCTTTGTAACAGGTGCGCTGTAGATGTATGCATTTAGGATACATATTTTATATTAACTTTATAATTTTGTGTTTTCTTATATTTCTAACAGCAGATATTAAAAGTAGCATCTTACTTATATTTGTGGATAAACTATTATACTTATCAATGTGTTTGAAAATACACCATTTGATCGGATAGGTTTTGGGAAGAGAAGTTATGGGGTTTGTCAGGTATTCATGCTGTCTAGAAGATGGCAAAGTGCTGCCAAATATTAAACATCAGTTCTTAGCTTACTTAAGCAATTACTTTTGCTGTGTTTTAACTCATCTGCTGTCCTGTAGTCTGGGGAGGCAGAAATGATCACGGAAAGGATTGTTCTTTAAAACAGATTAGCCCAGAAATGGATCCTGTGGCAAGCATCAACAGGAATATGTCTGTGTGTATGCAGTGTGCTGCTCTGATCAGCCTCTGAATTAATTCTTAAGCAGAGTCCTTCATTCTCTTGTATTTTGGACTCCACTAGAAGCTCTGTTATGTTATATTACAATCTGTATTGCTGAGTAATGTGATTATACAATATAGGTTGCTTAGAGACAGAGGATAAGCTCAACTCTTGGGTCTAAGTTTCCGTTTTGATCTTCTAAAAAGGTAGCAGGTAAATAGTATTTTGGGAAAAGTTGTTCCATTACAACTTCTGTGAACAAGTAGTTGTGGTTGGTTGAACTCGGTTGGCTGCCAGGTGCCCACCCAGCCGCGCTCTCACTCCTCCTCCTCAGCACAATGAGGGGAGAAAGATGGAAAAGCTTGTGGCACAAGATAAAGAGAGGGAGATCACTTACTAATTACCATCATGGGCAAAACAGAGTTGACTACGGGAAGATTAATTTATTGCCACTTAAAAATAGAGTGGCATGGTGAAAAACAAAGAGGAAAACTAAAAACACCTTTCCCCCACCCTTTACTTCTTCCCAGGCTCAACTTCCCTCTTTCATTCCCTCCTCTTCTACTTCCTCTGCCATGAGTGGTGCAGGGCGGGTGGGGAATGGCGGATTGCAGTCAGTTCATCACACTTTGTCTCTGTTCCTTCCTCCTCACGCTGTTCCCCTGCTCCAGTGTGGGGTCCTTCCCATGGGATACAGTCGTTCACAAACTGCTCAAATGTGGGTGTTTCCAATGGACTGCAGTTCTTAAAGAACTGCTCCAGCCTGGGTCCTCTTCATGGGGTACAATCCTTCAGGAACAGACTGCTCCAGTGTGGGTCCCCCACAGGTCCTGCCAGGCACCTGCACCTGCATGGGCTCTTCACAGGCTGCAGCTTCCTTCAGGGCATGTCTGCCTGCTCCCAGCGTATGATCCTCCATGGGCTGCAGTGTGGCTGTCTGCTCCGGCATGGTTCTCCCCATGGGCTGCAGGAGAATCCCCGTTCCAGCACGTTTTCCACCTGGATTACCTCTTCCCCTTCCTTCTTCACTGTGGTGTCTACAGCGTTTTTCTTTCGCTTTTTTCCCCTCCTCGCTCATCTCACAACCGGTGCACACTGGGGATTTTTTACCCTTTCTTAAATGTTATCACAGAGGATAACATTTAACAGTGCAACCGGCTTTGCCAATGGTCTCAGCTTTAGGCAGCAGTGGGTCCATTTTGGTGTTGGCTAGAACTGACTGGCTTTGTCTGGCACAGGGGCAGCCCCTGGCCTCTTCTCACAGAGGCCAGCCCAGCAGTCTCCCGGAAGTTGAATTCTGGAGAACTGTGCGTATTTGTTCTCAGCTTCTATAGGAAAGTATAAGAACGGGGTCTTGTGCACTTAGAAGGCATTAGATGAAATGAAGCACTTGATGTCAAATACTGGTTTACAAATCCTAAAAATAAAAAGAGGCCAGGAGTGCTCATTGCAGTGATTCGGTTTTGGTATATGGTGGTTTTAGCAGAACAGAAGTAACTCACGTCATGATTGTCTGTTCTAAGATACAAAAGATTGTAGCATAGTCTGAATTGAGAGACAAGTTACAGAGCTATTCTTAAGAGCTTTGGTTTTTTCCTTGAAGATGTAGGTGAAGTAGGAGGATTCACAGTCACTGGGTAAACTTTCTGTGCCGAAAACCGGAGGCTTGAGTCTCTCCTGAGCTGTATTGGTAGCATTAATAAGGCTGTACTCTGATCTTTTCATTTGAATGTTCCTTTAGAATGTTCCTTTAGTCCGAGGGTCAGGAGTAGGTCAGCATCAAGAGCTGTCTACCAGCAGCTGAATTAGTGAGACTGCGTGGTAAACTGGTATAGCTGGATCCTTTACATCATTTTATGCCTTACTCCTAGAGGTTTTCACGGGGCAGGGTAAGATGTTAATGAGATTTCCCTCACCCACCCCTTTTGTTTCTGCTCTGCCCTCTTTGCCTCAGCATGCCTTTGGTGGCACAACACTGTTGTATTTACAGTAAGGTTGGGGGTTGAGATTTTTGCATAAAATAGGCTCGAAGTTAACAACATGATACTTAAAATGAAAATATGTTAATGAAGCGTGGCTATTCACTGCTTAAGTTTTTTTTCTCTTTCTCTTACAGTTTGAAGGTGGCTCTGGATATGGTAAGTTTTTATATAGAACCTTTACATATACTTCATTATGTAGTTATTAAAGGGCTTGATGCATACGTTTAAATCAGACTATTCTTATGCAGGGGGGCGCGGTTCATATGGAGACCTTGGTGGACCCATCATCACAACACAAGTAACGATTCCCAAAGATGTAAGTAAAGTTGACTTGCTTTTAACTTACATTTTCTCTTAAAAAAAAAAAAAAGTGGGGAAAAAAAAAGTTGCAGCCTTTTCTCATACTGTATAAGTAAATCAGAAGTATTTAGGGTGCTTGATAAGTACTTGTAATGTTTTTAAAACAAATGTTTCTAAATCACCACAAGTCTATTCTTTGGATGTTTGTTTTGTGTCTTCACTTTACAGACACACTAAACAATTTTATTAATTGTTAATATTCAGTAATAGAGATGGTCTGTGTAACCTGTTTTTGCAAATGACCAACTGGTTCTCCAGTATTATCCCACCTGTGTTTATACAATGAATATTGCAGGGTATGTTTTGAGGCTGTAAAGAAGTAAGCTTCCATTGCAACTCTTAAAAGTAAACTTAGGGAAGCTACTCAAACACTGCTGTGATTTCGTAACTGGTTTTAGAGAGAAAGTTGTATCAGGAAATGAATGTTTGCTTTCTCCCCTAGTTGGCAGGATCTATTATTGGAAAGGGAGGCCAGAGAATCAAACAAATACGTCATGAGTCAGGAGCTTCGATCAAAATTGATGAACCATTAGAAGGCTCAGAAGATCGGATAATAACTATTACAGGAACACAGGACCAGATACAAAATGCACAGTATTTACTGCAGAACAGGCAAGTTGAAGTGTAATGTTGTCCCTACTGTCAATTTTAAACTGACTGACTTGTACATTCTAAAGCTGCTCTTCTCTGTGATAGTTTTCAGAAGGCAGGTTTTAAGTAACTATTTGAACCTAACTTCTCCAGTGGTAGTTCTGCCTTGATTCTCTTCCGTTCTCTATTCTAATTAAAATGAAGACACCCTCAAAACTAATCTGTCTGGAGGACGCCTTAACCAAGCCTTAACTCTCATTTCTCTGGTGAAAACTGCTGCAAAAAACTACTTGTAATAAATTACATAGAGCCTGTAGAAAATATAGAAGATTTCAGTGGATGTTGGTCTAGTTCTGTGTGGAAGACTAGTGATTTTGTTGTTTTTAGATAACTAAATTGACAACAAATCACAGTCTGCCATATGGCACAGATCATGCCTCTACAGGACAAGTTGAAATCTATTTGGTGCTGTTATGCAGCATTTCACACCTTGCTGACATTACTTTGTCTTTTCTGCCAAATATTAACAGCTTCAGATTTAATTTGCTTAGTTTTGCTTTATTAACATGTTGGCTGTCATAGCAGATTTTAATGTTTTAACTTGAATGTTTGGCTTTAGATTACTAATACATACCTATAATTATAGCCATTAATCTTTTAAAATTATTTACTTTTAAATGTATTAGGAATTTGTAATTTAATCTGCTCTAAGAATGTCATTGTAAATGTTGATGCAAGATGTATGGTCCATCATTCTAATACATGCTTTTTTCTTTTTCTTTTATAGTGTGAAGCAGTATGCAGATGTTGAAGGATTCTAATGCAAGATTATTTTTTCTTTTTTATAGTGTGAAGCAGTATTCTGGAAAGTTTTTCTAAGACTAGTGAAGAACTGAAGGAGTCCTGCACCCTTTTTTTTTTTATCTGCTTCTGTTTAAAAAGCCAACATTCCTCTGCTTCATAGGTGTTCTGCATTTGAGGTGTAGTGGAATCTTTGCTGTCCACCAGATGTAATGTTTTAGTTCCTTAAAAATATGTGGGGGGGAAAGGGCGCACGAGACTAACATTGAAATTTTGAAGCAGCAGCAGAGAGAGTGAATTTTATTTTTGTTCATTGTTGGTGGTAAATTGTAATGTTTTTCTGTAATTGTTGTGAACACCCTGCTTTATGTACACTGTATTTTTTTTGAAGGGGGGAGAATACTGGTAGTCCACATGTCCCTGGCGTCCTTTGAGAGGAGTGTGCAGAATGTAATGCTCTTTTGTAAGAAACGTTTTATGATTTTTAAATAAATTTAGTGAACCTATTCTTGGTGGTCATTTTTCTTCAGATACATGTAAGGTAGTATCTAAAATGGATACACCCTTTTTTTTCCCCCCACAAGAAAATGCATAAATGAAAGTTGCTGTTAAGCTTGCTCTTCTGCTTCTTTGATATAGATGGAGTTATGTGGGTTTTTTTGACAAATTAAAGAACCCGTGTGAAAACAAATGACTCTGCTTTGCTGTTTGGGAAAAAATGCAAAAATATTCATGCAAATGTTGTGTAAAACTTGAAATTTTTGCAAGTGTTTGGCCCTCTGCAGTACATATATATATTGGTGACAGTATATAAATAAAATATTTTAAACCTTTGTGATGTCACTGAGTAAACAGTGGTAAGGTACACCTGGTTATAGACAGCTTGCCTAATGCAGATAACACTGTTAGAAATGACAGTTGCTGTACCATTACTGAATGAATTATAGTGGTTTTCTGAGCTTTCATTTGTATGAGGTAGAAATTCTTATAAATCAGCAAATTGACGGTATCTAACTCTGTAACTTGTTTTTCATTGTATGCAAAACTTAAAACTTCTTTGGTTTCCCTGTTGTATGTTGAATTCCATAGGAATTATTTGTGAGAAATTAAAAAATATACAGCCTCTGGATATCTCATGTAATACCTTGGCATTTGTATTTATAGTTTACAGGTTTTAATTTCACTTCCTGAATAAAAACAAATTTAAAAATGCAAGTGTGTTGTACATGTGGATATGGCGGGTCCAGACTAAGCGTGGATTCTTTTGCTGTTTTTTTGTTTGGGTTCCGCCCCCCACCTTGGGTTCTGTAACATTTCACTTCGCTTTTTTTAATGGTGCGGGGGGCAATTCCTGTCCTAGTAAGCGGCTACTCTTAAAATTTAATGGGGCTGGCAGGGAGCCGGGAGGTCGCGTCGTCAGGCTGAGCTCCGGGGCAGCGCCGTGATTAGCCCTGACCAGCCCTCGGAGCGGGAAAGCC